GACCTTACAACTGAAGAACCTACAATTGATGAGCTTATAACCAATGACCCTATCATCGAAGAGCCTATCACGATCTCTCGCCAATTCTATGAAGTCTCGCCAATCCTACTTCCAAGCCAACCACAAACACAGATAGAAGCGCTGAATAACGTGCGCGAGTTAATGAGTCGATTGGTAAATGACTTTGAAATTCATGATAAAACAAATCATTATTTCTTTTTCTCTTCTGAAATATTTCTTAATTAGACAGTATTTCTAGAGATGATTGAATCTGAAATTGTTTGATTTCTCAATGAAAAGTTTTTAGAACAAATAGGATGTCATATAAGGATAAACCAGCAACTTCTAAAACAAGAGTTTATCTTACTAACTGCTATTTCGTATATATTTCTTGGAGAAACTAATAATTTTTAGATTGTTTTTTTGGTTTAGATTGTGACAGAATTGAAGATTGTGACAGCATTCCTGTATCATTCTTTTTTAATTGACAGTTGGAATGAAAAAGAAGCGGGATGGATTCATGCTGTCAAAAAATTGAATAATTTTGAATTTGAGAATCTGTTGGTTACTTGTCACTAAACACATTCTCAAATTATTCCATTTCCTAGGGAGAAAGTTAAATATTTAGGGCATTATAAAATGTTACTTGTTTATAGTCCAAGAAATTTGTTATTGTAGATGCATAGAGTGTTAACCAATCATGGTTTAAGCTTCATAAACTTTACCATATATGGCTATGAGCCGGATGATGTGGTCCTTGGGGAAGTTACATCCAATGGAGAAGTGCTGCAACGTGGTGTGGGCTCATATGTCATGGAAAATTACACAGTTGTCGGATTTGTTAATAAGACCGAATATTATAAGGTTGTTAACTTTTTATTAAATTTTAATTTTATTCCATAATTTAGCTTTAGCTCTATGACAGTATTAAGGCAAAACCTAACGACAAAAAATGAGCATTGAAAATTGAAAACGAAGAGAATTAAGTGCCACCTAACGTTTTCTCCTTATTTTATTTTCCATTTGAATTCGTTATCATAATCGACAAAAACTTACTTTACAAATACAACAACAACTTACTTTACAAATACAATAACTTTATAAGACCAATATGATTCTCTTATTTTTATCCATTGAACTTCACTTATATTATTTATATATATACATATTAAATTTTTATTAGTTAAAATTGAAATTAATGTTTAGTACAAATACACCTACGCCGAAGATTAATATAGGCTAAATAATCATTAACGTAATAAACAGTCTTGATCATCGCAGTAGTAATTTTCGCGAAGTTACTATTTTCTGCAATCACACGTGCCTATTACATACATATTGTAGTGATACAATCAATGAATTTATTGCATCATTTAATTTTTTCAGACAATATCGATCGAACTTCCGGATATTGAATTCATCCTTCCGGTGGGATTTTGGAAGCACGCTGGGGAACTGCTTGAAAAACATTTGAAAAAAAATGTGAACATTGTAATTTACAAAATGCGTGTTGAATTCAAAGAAGATTGACTGATGAAATATGAAGTTTGATTTATTGATAATTAAATAAAGTTCTGGCAAGCTTTCTTTTTTTCGTATATTTTCTTCTTGAAAAAGAATGTATGTTAATAGAGATATTTTTATAATTTAATAAAGAGCCAATTGGAAAATTTTTAATTCAAAGTTTATCGATTAGTTTATCAATCCGCCTAACATGTCTATTCGATTGATTCATTTGACTTCTCCAAAAGAATAATTCAACTTCATCTATACTTTCGTAGGATTTATGGTGATTTGTAAATGTCTTTGCATTTTAAGAATAATAAAATATGTTAATACATTAGTTTTTTATTGTGTCTACTAAATGCATTATTAACTTATATCATTTGGCAATACAACGATGCTTCAAATGATAACGATATTCTTGATAAGATCAATTTTCATTCTATATTTGATTAAGCTTAATTGTTATAAATCACTTATAGTTAAATGTTCAGCTTTTATCCAAATTGTTGAATAAATTGTTTATGAATAAAATGTTTATGTGCCGATCAAAATAATTTCTTCAATTGCAAAAGAAAAAATTTCGGGATGATGGGATGGAAATTTTTCATTGGTTGCAAAAATTTCTCTTTCAAATTTAAAACTATGAAATGGATGGAGGGAAAGTTTGTTGTTGAATGTGGCGAGATGAAATGGGGAGCGGTAAGTAATTTAGGGTCGTTTTATGGAAGAATCTGGAGATCCGACTAGTTTGTTTTCCTTTCAGGCAGTGTGTTTTTCTACTCTTTTCTTTTTGGGGCGATTAATGTTATTACCTTTTTGTAACAGATGAATAGTTGACAACATTTAATGACACATAGTTAATATGATTAGAGATTGAGAAAACGGTCTAGATACTGATGAAATGATGAAATAAGTGGTATAGCACTGAGAGAGAAGATAGATAAGAATGGATGATAACATTGTTTTTTAAAACACTGAAATTGAAGAAAGTGATTCGAGAAAACTCACTGTGATGACTGATGCGATGTACTGAATTTTTTCGAATCATTGTTACTAATGGTCACTTTGATCGTAATCATTGCTGTTTAATCTGTTTATCAGTAATTTGCCACTGATAATGAGTGTAGTGCTTCATAAACAACGTCTAATAAGCACTTTTGTAAACAAAAAGATGGCATTGAATGGAAATAAATCAGGTCTACAATAATTTTGGAATAACTGTTCGCAATAACTGATGAGATAACTGATAAATTGATATCTGTTATTTGGAGAAAGAAAAGTAAATTGATGTCCTTTATAAATTTCTTAGCCAATCTGTTATTATTGTCAGTTATTTTGATCAAATATTCTTTGAAATATTTCAGGGCTTTGATTATGCATTTATTACAAATTGATAGGTTTGCCGTTGAATTTCCATTCGAACCATATGAATGCCAGATTAAATTTATGGAGAAGGTTATAGAAGCTTTACAGACGGTATGCTTACAGTATTCTTTAATTATACATAACTAATTGTATATGTCAATACAGTAACTGATAAGTTGCTGGGGACAATTGTGTTGTTGAATATGACAAAAAATTATTATGTGGTAGTTGACAATTATCAGTTAATTGTGCATATTAACAAAAATGGCGATGTCTTATAGTTTTTGGGTGACCATTGTATCGTGGTGATCATCGTTTTAGATGTAATGATCAATCATTAATCAGATCCGTAATGACAGATCCTCCATGATAAATTATCAATTACTAATATTCTTTCAAAGTGATAAACTATTTGGCATTCCGTCAACTTTATTCCAAGTCATGAAGAATTATTATGTTTCCAACTATAATTATAGATGTGTTACTACACCGAAAAGTTGTAATTTGTGATATTGAGGACTAAATAGCCCAAATATCAGGATGAATTGCCAAAAATTTTTCCTTGCACAAACACTTATTTCGAACGCTAATCTTTAGACTTAATAATTCCATTATAGTGAAGGGGATTATTATTAAGCTGTCAAGCAATGTCATTTATAATCTCTTGAACTATAGCCATTTGATTCAGTAATTCTTAACAAATCTTATTTTTTTTTTAAACTTTCTAAATTTTTAATATTTTCTATGAACTTTATTAATCTTAATATCATTAATACATAATAAATTTTAATTAAGTCCAGATTTCTGTGAGAATAACGTGGTGATACTAAAAGTTTACCACATTTCAGGGACAGAATGCAGCATTAGAATCACCGACCGGAACCGGCAAGACACTATGTTTACTGTGTGCTGCTATTGCATATTTGAAAAATTGCAAATCGAAGATATCTCAGATGGACAGTACACAAGAAATACAGGGTTACTATTCCAGTTTTACATAGTAATATTTGCTGGGTAATATAACATAAAACTATCTTGTATTCAGGAGAACTTTTTTCAGTCCCCACACGCTTCCATATTAGTTTGTACTCCAATTTTAATACTTCGCTAATTCAGTGAGACATTTTTTGTCATGTTTGGAATAAGTCAACTTAATATGTTTCTCAATTACGACATTCTACAATTATGTAAATTTTCTTTCAAGTTCTAAATGTTGTAGCGATGAATGATAAGATATTCGAAGACTGGAAACTGTTTGAAAGATAATTTTATTGACAGGTACATCTTCTAGATCACTTTATCCGAAAATTTTTTATGCTTCCCGAACACACAGCCAACTGACGCAGGTAATTCGTGAATTAAACAAAACTACGTACAAAGAGTAAGTTTCTTATGTTAAATTACTTCTAAAAAATTTGAACTTCTAATCTTAATTCATCGTAAACAGTTAAACTTGAAATGTTTCCAATCCTCCATTTTTTTTTAAGTTGAATTTCTATCCCATATGCCAAAATATTGATGTAAAACAATTTCAAAGTTTTTGATTCTGTGGCTGATTGGAATGACTTTGTTATTGTTACCAGGAATTAAGAATACTTTTTATATTCTCATCACGTGCCTCATATTCTTTCTTTACCCATATTCTTACATTAATAACATTCTTTTTCAGTACAAAGAAAGCTTTTTCTTTGATATTTCAGCATTAAGACTGTAACTTTGGCCTCCCGAGATATACTTTGTATCAATGATAAAGTGATGAAGGAAAATAATAGTCATATCATATCACTAATGTGCAGAAATTTGATCAGTAGACATCGATGTCCATTTTATAATTTCTACGAAAGTATGATTTTATTCTGTTTTTCTTTTTTTCTTTTTCATTTGCCTGTCTTACTAAATATCAGCAAAATTTTTATAGCACTTCAAATTTTTTTGCCTGAAATGCATCTCTTATTCCCAAATATTTTTGTAATATCAGGCCTATCATCTGCTGTCGAATATGCGGAAATCCTATTTTCATAACTTTCGCTGTTTCAAACCTTGTTTTTTTAGTAATTTTCGTTTAAAAAAAAAGTATTTTAGAAGCTGATCCATTAACATTGGATTTATTATATAGTGAGAATGGATTAGTTCCAGATATCGAAGAAGTCATCAATATATCTCAGAAGCATAAGTATATCGGAATTTTTTTGTTTCACTTGCAATTTCACTTCAAGTTGATATCTAATAGATTGCATCAAATTTTTGGAAATAAATTTGAACTTCAGATGTTGTCCTTATTTTCGGAACCGTACAATGTATGAAAATGCTGATCTAATTCTTTTGCCATATAATTATATCGTTGATCCTTCCCTGCGACATAAGCATAACATTCAGCTGAAAGGGAATATTGTCATTTTCGATGAAGCTCACAACTTGGTAATTACTCGTTATTAAAAAATATTTCCATATCCATCAATAAGTTGATAAGGCTAGTGCAGGTTGATGCTCGACATAATTTTTTTTGAAATAGCGTTTTTGGGGAAACTTCATGACCTATAGAAGAAATGGAGAACTGAGACTGATTATTTCTGGAAACTTTAATTCAGGAATCAATTTGTGAAGAATCGGCATCAGTGTCATTTTCAACTACTCAAATAAGTGCTTGTATAAGGGAAACGAAGAAAGTTTTGGAAATGATTGTAAATGATGAAGAGGAAATTCGGATGAAAATGGCATGTGTTTGCATTATTTGATACCCCCTTTTTATTTTTCTCACTGATAGATTTTTTGCAAGATTTTTCTGGGATACTCAAAAGTATCCTTGGGCGAGGATATTTTTGAGTGTATTTAGCTGAAGTTTATGCATATTGTGGGCACGGGTGAGGATACCTTTGAGTGTATTTAGCTGAAGTTTTTTATGTAAAATTTTGGTTGTCATGAGTAGTAATATTTCAGGTTACGAACACTTATTCCAGGAAGTTTATCTCTCCTTTTTCTGTTCTCATTGTTGTCGTAATCGATTAGAGCAAATTCATCTTTTCATGTTTCCGTCATTCATATTGACCGACTTGGTTAATTCCTTTCTATGCAAATGGCTTTTCTTCTTGTCCTCTTTAATTTTCAGTGAAAGAATCTCATATTCACTTTGGCAAAATAATTTATTTTACAGGATAATACAATTGCATCATTTGGTACTGAAATTCAGGAATCAAATGAAGTGAAAATTGAGAAGAATGATGTAGCTTACTTGCTTGGTAAGCTTAATTTGGTCCATAAGTTCATCTTTTTGGTACGCTCATTGTAGTTTTCGAAATCATATAAATGCAATCTTGGAATCTAATTTTGCGGTATTCATTCTACTTATACTATGGAATATTTAGTCTATTAAAAAATTTCTGGTACTGAGCTGAGATCATTTTCGGATTTAGTTTTGGTTAAACCGAATCTAAGTAAATCAGTGTTTCAGCATCTTTGCATCAGTTTGAAGATGCTGTCGATGTTTGCATGAAAGATAAAGGGGAGAAAGTGATTGGGATTGGTGGCAAAGTATATCCGGGTGAAAAAATGATTGAATTACTATCGAAAGTAGGATTTCGAAAAGATATGAGGGGAACAATATCATTGACTATTGACAAAATTGGGCAGTATCTCACAGCAAAAGGTTTATTATCTTTATGTTGTTTTCGCACTGTATTCGCGACATAAAATGGTAATTCGTTGCTTTTAGTTGCTTTTAAGCTTCCTTGATTTATCTTTATATCAATCATTCATATCATTTTATACAAATTTTCAGTTTCAAACATGATCACTTTCAGTGTCTTAGCTTAAGTGATGCAAAAGAACTGGGAAAAATACTTTCAGCACCCTATCGCACTTTCGAATGAAAATTTTTCTTGTTTAGTAAACAAAATTTATAGCACAAAATGAGTCAGCTGGAGAGTTTATCGAAAAAGGAGTCTATCTTCAAGAATTTTCATCATTCATTTCAACTGTTTACGCTGATGAGCACGCTTCATTAAGGGTATTGGACAGTTCGGTTTGTGCAATGAGAAATGTGGATAGTAGCATTGCGAAATATTTTCAAGTAAGTATTGCAGTAACGTAGCTCATATCCGTGCTAGGTAGTCAATTGAATTTGTCTTTAATTAACATGTTCCGAATAAGAGATGTATATGCCGGAAATATGTTGTGCAATATATATACTACATTATAGTAAGAATCACACGGAATAGATTAATTAATTACACTTACTTTCCCCGTCTGTATGTCTGCTGCTGAGATTTCTGGTTTTTTTTTTACATGATTCAAAATAACGAAGTTTTTGGGAGCTTTTAGCCTATGATTACAATGCATTTCAGCTTTACGTCACAGAACATGGTTCAGTAATAACGCTGAATTACTGGTGCTTCTCACCATCAGTCGCAATGTGGTTAGTCACTTCTTTAATTATCAATATTTAACTTTTTTATGAATGAATAAATCTGTTTGACTATCAAAGTCTTGTAATTTATTC